TATATATATATATATATTTATTGAACGATTATTATATTATATATGTATATAAATAGCAACAGATAAAATGTAACAAGTTCGACGAACCGAGATGATGCGCTAGTTTAATTCGCATCCGATAGAACTCGACTATCATGTTCTAACTAATTGCATAGCCAATGTGTATATTGCGTTCATGTTAAAAAAAAAAAAAAAATTGAAACTTCTTTCATGGAAGCATATTAGCAATTTTAGATTATTATACCAATTCTATTAAGAGATAAGGTAAATATTTAAACAAATTATCTCTTATAGATCATTGAACAAATTCTATCATGTATCCAATCTTCAAATGCTTCTATAAAAGAATTGAAAACAATGTTATTCAAATAACGTAAATAAGCTTAAGAAATATTCATTGCTTAAGCTTCCACTTACGGCAAAAAATTAATATATTAATAAATGTATCCAATGGAGAATTTTATTTTAAAGCGTTGCGATGCATTCGAAGCCTCTCCGTTGTAAAAACAAATGTACAAATGTATACATGTTTATATACGCATCGAAGTGTTATTTAAGTAATTATCATACTATAATATAATTAATTTATATTAAGTATCGCGATGACATGATCATCTCAATTTGATTAAACTTGTACAAGACTTATTACAAAACTCATTCTATTTACTCTATCTTGAGATTAGTTATATAAATATATATACATATATATATATATATATTTGTACTTTACAACAGAGATCATTAAAGAATGCATGCATATGAAACATAATATTAAAAAAAAAGAAATGTACAATTTCCTCTTGAGAGCCGTAAGACTGATAACTTAACGCGGGTACATAGAGACTGTACATATTAATAATTCGTTGTATGACATAGGTCAGAGTTACGATAAAACTTATCTTGTGGATATTCAATATGCTACTTATAAAATGTATACATATAATGATGTTTCGTTTTATTTCTATGAACAAATAAATGATCGCATTAGGTTTTATCGAAATTCTCCTTTAATGCGATTCGGATTTAAGTACACTTGTCAAATTTGCTTAAGCTTTGCGAGATTATAAAAAGTCCCTTTCTACATAGAAAAGATATGGGCATGATATAGTATGTAATGTATCGATATATCATCATTTTCTAATTTTATTTTGCATCGTATTTGTTTTCTTTTTGTTTAGATAGTATGTACTTTTTTTTTCAATTTTAGTATCCACAACTCGAAATTAATTTAGATTTTTATTGTATATTATTATTATTATTATTATTATTATTATTATTATTATTATTGATTATTGATATTATTTCTATAAATAATTGATATCATGAATTGACTACACGAAATTAAATTTTTTATTAATAGCCTAAAATTTATACATATAATATCAAGTCCTGATTTGCTAACGTGTTATATATATGTTTAGAATATATTAAATAAAATAAGTGGGCATCGTTTATGTACCGTGGAATTCATTATTTTTATTTATGTATATTTAAGTAAAAAGAGAAATGTAATAGAATATATAAGCTAAACATATAAGCTTCGAAAATTGTTATTGAATGATTCATATTGGATGAAAATATACGTATAAAATTTACCATTACTGATCTTATTATTTTTTAAAATAATAATATATATTTATAGTGAAAATTTAAAAAAGAAATAAATGCACAAATTAAAAATAAATTTTATCAAATAAATATGGCAACATTATCATTTATAATAAATAATATATAGATAAATCTATCAAATATTTTTATTCAATGTTACAGATATAGAATGACATTTTTTGTATGAATTATTGTTTCATCTGTCATTTTTTTTCTAAATATTATCCATTGATATTTTTTTTGCCATAGTTTTTTTAAATTTCATATAAATAAAATTTTAATAAAATAATTTAAAAGTGTATATATATTATTATATATATATAGAGTAAGTATTTTTTATTTATATTTTTTATTTTCTTTTCTTTTTTTTTAAATTTTTCTAATTTTCTTATTTCTACAAGTTTTTTGAAACATTTATATATAGATTCATTTGTGATTTTTTTCAAAGTATTTTTAAATATAAAATTGTCTTTTT